TGCTGTTTAACTCAGAGTATAGTATTCTACAGATCTTTTTCTTTAGTTACAGACATTAGTATCATCAGCATAAATCGATACTCATATAAAGTTTTAACAAAAAAAATTAATTTTTTTTAACAATATCTATACATTCGAAAAAATAATATGCATATTTTTAAAATGAAAAATTATCTATGAATATATAAAAAATCGTTTATCATATTGTCAAGTAATTGGTAATTATTTTTTATTTGGTTGAATTAAAGTAACTTCGACAAAAAAAATTGTCGAAGTTATAACTTCGTCAATTTTGTCTGACAAAGTTATAACTTCGTCAAAATTGTTGACGAAGTTATAACTTCGTCGACCGGTGTAACTTCGATACGACATATATATATACTCTGACATCACCAAAAGTATCGATATTCAGCATCTTACTCGTACAGTTTAACTACTCTAAAAGTCATGAGCTTCCTCCTTTTCATTCTCTTCTTAACAATTGCATCAGTGGTGCCCCAGGTGAGCAACTATTACATTAGTCACGATTTAAAATTAATTTTTTCATTCTAGCCTATACGTTTTCAATCTTTTGAAGAATTTGATAGTGCACTGGCGATGTCTACAGCTCCTGTTGATAAGACTACACCTAGCGAAACAATGAATCCAACAACAACTGCTGGTAAATCAACAGTTCTTCCAAAGGATGTTTACCAGTGGTTGTCGTCTGGATTCAATGTTTTGATCAGTGTTGTTTCATCAACTGGAGTTGTAGGCACCTGCTGGTGTGGAATCAAATTGGTTCGTAATGGTTGTATTTGTAAAGTAAGAAGTTGCTCAATTTCATAGATAAATTTTACGATTTCTACGCCATTCTATTTAGTCTACATGGTTTTATCCTAAATCTTTCGCCGAATATAGACGACGACAACAAGAAAAAATTAGTAAGTTCGAAAAAAAGTGTTGACTAATTATAGTAATTTTGATACTGTTTTTTAGAAAATCAATTAGGAATGCATAATCCAGCATTCAAACAACCAGTATTATCTTCATCATTAACATCCTCATCACCACCATCACCACAATTTGCTTTACCTGTACATAATGCCTAGTTTTTTGATCTTTTATTCAGATTGTTTCTCCACTAATAATTGATTGTATATAAAAATGATAGTATTCATGATATTTATTTGTAAATAAAGTTGATCTTATTGGTTCATTCAATCAATTATCTTTCATTCAAAGATTAAAAAAACAACCTCATAATAAAAAAAGTGATGCTTATAATGTAATGCATGTAATTAACAACCGTTTAGAAAAAAACAATAATGACATAGTGAAGAACATGTAGATTGTATGATTGATGATGTCTAATCGTGTGAAATATTATTTAGTCATCGCAACTTAGTGTCTTACTAGGTAATGCTATAATGCCAAATGTATACACAGTATATAATGCTTACCAAATATTTATTGGTAGAAATATCAAGGAGTGCATTAAGAAAAAAAAGTATTAATTTATATCAATGAAACCAATAGGATATACTGAAAATTTAGATTCTCTATTAGAATAGATTTTTGTTCAAGATCACTATAGTGATGATACTCAATCAATTTTTCTTACTGAAGCAGGCATGTTCTGTACATCGATATCGGTGTATTTGATGTAGCATTGTCCATTATGCCATCTTATATCATAAATCTTAAACCGATATTCCGTTGGAGATAGAATTGTTCTCTTCTGATGTATATGATTATCATATGTAATCAACTGCCAGGTTAACGAGACCATTCCTTTTATTTAACCCTTTGGTTACGGTTTTTTTTTAAGACGAATCTTTTATTTTTCGTTCTAAAACAGTCTGCAATAACCTTTATTAGTATATAGAAGTATTTAGAAATGTTTTAAAGTATGATAATCTTCAAAACAACCTATCACACAAAGTCCAACATTACAAATATCACACTGATAACGTGTATCCCTACGCTTTTTCTCGCGTCTACTTGTATGATTACAGACTATACAAGCTCTTTGTGCACTTTTTCCTGCAGCTGTTGCTGGAACTAGAGATGGGAAATGACGTGCATTAAGACGTACGGGGTTATCCCCGATAATCGGATGACCAATTGTATGTTTGGACTGAGCATGCCTTTCAATCAATTGCCGAATCAATTCCTTCCGAAATTCCCCAAATTGAATAGTTTTTTTATGCTTCACTTTGAATAGCATATATGCGTTCAATGTTGATAAATCCAGTAGATGAAAGAAAAATTTCTTGTACCACTTAACAGTTTTTCGTATGCATTCTGCAAAACTGATCTGCATATCAGTTTTGTCAACTAAGCCCATGTTTTTGTAGTAATGAACAATGCACTCTGGTTTTTCAATTACTTTTTGAGTCTTCCAATCACTTTTTCCTGTTTGTATCATCCTCGGCTTGTGGATTGTAGACAACATAATGACTTCTCGTTTGTCTTGCCACTTTAGAACCATTAGATTGTTAGTGTTGTTATAGTCAAAATCACCTTTTGTCAATTTATCGAACTTAACTGAACCAAGGCGGTTTTTACGTACAGTTCCACATGCACCAGTCTTGTGTTCATGTAATTTTTCAAATAGACGAGGACTGGTATACCAGTTATCGACAAAAAGTGAATGTCCTTTGTTCAAATACGGTTTCATCAAAGTCATAACTATGGATCCTGATTTTTCCAAATTTTCATCCAGATCAAAGTCCGTAGAGGAACCAGTATATACAATGAAATCCAACACCACTCCTGTTTGGCAATCGCAGATAACGAATACTTTTATGCCAAATCGATGACGTTTAGTTGGTATATACTGTTTGAACGCTAGACGACCCTTCCAAAGAATGAGTGATTCGTCTATACATAAATTTTTGTATGGAATAACAAGTGATCTGAATTTTTTCCGTAAATCATTTATCACTGGTTTGATTTTATATAATCTGTCGTCTTCTATTTGATCTGGCTTATGGTTGAAATGTAAGTACTTCAAGAGCATAAGAAACCTGTCTCTAGAAAATAGTTGTCCGAACATCGGTGTGATAATCATCGGATCTGTTGACCAGTAGTCGAGGATCTTATTCTTTCTGATTACAGACATGAGCATAACTGTAGCTAGAAAAGTGTACATTTCAGAGCGATTTGTCTGTGTCCACTTTGCTTGATGCGAAGCTGTTTTATGTGTCGTATTGTTTGTAAAAATGTCCTGATACTTGTTCGTTTCTTGGACAATCAAATCAATCATTTTTTCATCAAAAAATAATTCAAAAAAATCAAGAGGTGTATCGCTTTTCATAGCATGTATGTCCAATGAAACACCAGAATTTTGTTCGTCGAAATGGAAGAGATGCGGCGTGAAAGCGGTTTTGCTCCAGTTTCGATCAGTAGATTGTTTCTTCAGTGGTGCTGCTTCATCATCCGATTCATCACTATCTATATCTGATGAATTAACTTCATCAATTTCCATATCAGAATCAACTTCAGATTCGCTATCCATTTGAATTTCATGTGGATCATTAGTTGTACACGTTGCCATGTTCAGCAAAGAGTTTTACTTAATATGTATGAATAATAAAATGTTTATGTGAAGACACGTGTAGAATAATAAGAAATTACTTCGTTTGCGTGAGAATATATACCCAAAGATATAAGTTATTTCTGGCATAGAGTCGAAGTTTCATTTGTACGAGAGAACGCGTTGAAAGAGAAAAGAAAAATAATATACCAGAATTTACTAGAGCGAGGTAGAATGCAAGAAACAAGCATGTCAGAACGCAAGAGATAGCAGAACCACACGTGGCAATGCGGGATGATGACGCAATAATCTTGTCAAGAAAAGAGGAAAAGAGAGGACTCCTTTCGATAGAATCTAAACGATATTATAATGATGATAATATCTGCAAAAATTCAAAACGTATATATACGTGATCCGTAACCAAAGGGTTAACTGGTATGCTTGGTACATCGATAAGATACTTTTGTTGACTATCTTAGAATGAGTTGAAGTGAAGTATGTAGTACAAGAGAAATAGTTGTGACACAGACAAGATTCTTTCTTGTTGAATGCTATGGATTTATAAATTCGAGAGAAAAAAACTTATTTGGGGCAGTTAGTAACTAGGGAGTGGACGATTTTAGAGAGAAGCTGATTTCTTTTGACAAAGCACTTGTATTTGAAAAGTATAAATGTTACATATCATATTATGAAATGAATAAATATATTGTATTTAACTAAATGATGTATAAATTATTAGATGTTATATAAGAATGCAGTGAGGACATAGCAAAAAAAGGAATAAGTTTCACATGAAATGTTATTCGTATTAATTTAAGTTCTAGGATATAGTGGCTCATTAAAGTCAATGCCAGTTGTTGTTTTGATGTTTTCAGCTATGGATCGTGTATCATCCGATATTTACTGGCATAGTATTTCATCAATGTACTCTGTCTGTAATTTATTAAGGTTTGTTTGAAATTTGTTCAATTGTTTGTCTATTTTGATTTTCAAATACTTTAATATTAATAGTAAAATGCCAGATAGTAATAATGAGATGATTGATATAATCAAGCTTAAGAAATCGTCTAAAAATTTTTTAAATGAAAAATTACTTGTGTGGATCTTGGATTCAAATCGCAGGAAATAATTCTGTGCATTTTTTTCATAATTGGATATTAAACGTTTAGTAATGGCTTTTAACGGTATCATTGAAACAAGATGTTGAAGTGTATTTGTATCATTTATTGTTCTAATGATAATGTTAGTATTCCTACATTTTGTTGGTGGTATAAGAGCCAGTCCACGTAAGCCACGACCGAACTACAGAGAAGCTGCTCAATCAAGGTCGCCAGATCTGGCTCATTTTTTGATATGTGATAGAGGGAAGAGTTCTAAGAATATTGGTGAAAGATTTTTGAAAATCTATGTAGCCGTTCATTTTTTATGGTGGTTTTACCAAAAGCCCTAAAATACGCCACTTTTAGCAGTGGGTGTCTAAATGTGAACATATCTCAGTAATGGTTCTATGGATTGAGCTCAAATTTTGTGGGTAGACACAGCTAAGTGATTTCTATTTGGGATAAAATTTTTGTCCCGAAATATGCGACTATTCCATAATTATGAGTCATCAAAAATACGGGAAAGGGAATTTTTCTGCAAAGTTTGGCACTTTGTAAATTTTGATAGGGATGAGATGGTGCTCTAAAATTTTCACCATAGATAGAACATTTAAAGATCTATGTGTGCTAAAAATTTCAGTCAATTTTATGGAGCCATTCAGCCGTAACAGGTCCTCGAAAAATGGGATTTTGACAAAAATGTCCATTTTTAGAACTGATTATCTCCCAAGAAATACATTGTCATGCGGACTGGGCCTTATGGTCTGAAAGTACTCTCGATGGACTACAACATTATAGAGAAATGAACGTGGGATCTCCAGAATTGGCTGGTTACGGGGGCCATCTTTCAAGCAAAATGTGAAATTCGTGCAGCTCACGAAATAACCTTAAATTTTAGTATTCAATCTTTTTTTTTCTTTATAAACCCTAGGTAAATTTTCATGCTGAACACGATGGTGATATTCTCTCATTCTCATTGTAGACTTTCTCTCATGAATCTAAGCAAAGTCAGGTATAATCACAGGATTTTTCGGTATATATTAGTATATAACAGAACTCATAGCACTCTTTCTCATCATTTCCGTATTGTATAGTCTCGACAACATTGTCGCTCTAATATTTAGTGTATAGTCGTGCGTTTTTTTCGTTGAAATTAGTATGTTTTCAGCTATTCTATTGTGCTTCTATCTTGTCATATTAGATGCATTCACGCTGTCATTGCTCAATTGCTATTAATGGGTGTATCTTCACTGGCTGCGCTAATACAGCAGTTGTCACATATTATATCTTTGTTACGTAGTGCTTAGACTAGCTTCCGTTTGGTTTATCCTTTTACGATATAAGACTGGATTATTATGTGCCTTTTGGAAAGCATGGAAATATATTAATTTCTTGTTTAGGATAAGTTAGAATACTTGAAATCCAGCCTATTAAACGTAATATGATTTAGTTTTAGACACATAATTTATTGCGATTGTGTATTTTCATCAATGATTTCGGCGATAAGCTGTTGTTGTGCAGATAGATCGTATTTTCGATTCAACTTGCGAAATTGATACTTGATTTGATTTTTCGTTGGATAATCGGTCGTTTGAAAGACCTTTGATCCATTAGAGTCTCTTTTTGTACGTATCTGTTGTTGAATGTTTTCAGGAGTTATCCTGGAATCGTTCCTTATTGAGTCAAACCAAAGCTGTTCGATAAAGTCCTTGACTTTTTCATTCATTGGCTTACCAAGTTTTCGAGTTCGCAGTGCCCATCCGTAGGTTGAGACGAATTGATAGTGGAAAGATGATGAGATATCATAGCCATCAGTATTTTGATGCTGAAGAATAGCTTGTGTTTCCGTGTTTGATTGCAATGAAGTTGATCGTAAGAGTTCTGTTAAATAAATTTTAGCAATATCGTTTGTTGTTCTAGGTATGTCTTCTGGAATAATATGCAGATCGGCAGCGATATGTGCGTCAAGCTCCTCATTTGTTTCGAAAGTCACTGTACAATTACTGATCGGGCAAAACAGAAGCTGATGATGTTGCCTGTCTGCTCTTCTACTTATAATAAATGATAATTCAAAATAGCATATGAGAAATTTTATATACCCCTTCGGAATTATAGATGACGATTGATCATTTATCGGTGCAGTGAAAGAGCTTGTTACTCGCATATTATTTTCAAATTGTATCGCTTTATATTTAATTTCCAATCCGGCCCCAATTCTGGATGCTTTATAAATCTTCATAGTTTCGGACCCATAGCGAACAGAACGTACTGATGAGATGTTAGGAACATTGGTTTTGTCCAAATGACCTGAAGAAAAAAAAAGTAGATTAAAACGAAAGTGATATTACTTGACATTCTGTATACCAGCACCAGGTATAATCTCTGCTACCGCGATCTTAGTGTTCTTGATTCCCCCAGCATATTCCATTCCCTCTTTTATATCATGTGCGTTCATCAGATCATTTCCAGTAGCTATCCAGGAGCGCATTCGGTCCTTGGCCACTCCACAAATACGATCACATATATCTTTACCTTTCTGTACTTCACTGTAATCCCTAGTTAATAAGTCGATACCAAGCTACACAAAATCCAGAATTAGTTGCGAAGGTAGCAAAGTGTTCAACAACTTACTCTTTCACAGATAATTCTTTCGGCTTCTGGGGTCCCATGCGACTAGAAATTGCTTGCATTATCTGTACGCTTATGTAGTTTCTTTAAATGGGGATAATCAGCTTGAAACTGCTGCAAAATATGCTCACCAGCACTTAATGTGTCGATTTCTGTCTGAGTAGCGTTTGTTATTGCCACAATATAGGATTGTGTAGAAAAAGTATATGCAGATGAAGTAGTTGCTGCTGATGCACTTACAGTAAGAGATGACAAAGTATCTTTCCAGACGAATGAACCGATAAATACTGACATTCCCTTCTTGCCAAAATACTTTTTTTGAGATTCTCGGTATTCTTGTGGAAGAATCTTCTGACCCCAATCGAAAGTACCAAAAGCCTCATCTATTCCCATTTCGGAGATTATCTTTTTCTTTTCGAAGTCTTGTTGTGCTGCACGAAGATTGTGACGTAACCACTCTATTATGTGCTCTGAAGCGTTTTCAAAGTCATATCTCGCTTCTGCTTGCAAGTCTGGATTCGTCATTTTTTCAATTTTTTGCTTTATCTCGTCAAGTGTTACGATAATGTTGATACAATCCGAGCAGATGGAGTAATGTTCTTGGGTGCATTCTAAATAATGCTGCGTACACTTTGGATCGCTTAAACCAAAAGTACAGCAATGCGTAGCACAACTAGAATTAACTGTATAATCAATAATGATAAATATAAATGATTATTTAATAAGGCTTCTTTTAAATATATTGAAGATTTTTTAACATTTCGCATTACTATAAATTGTCGAACATGACTACCTTATAATTCATCATCAGATGACACTTCTAATTGTTCATGTGTAATTATTGATGATGTTTCAACACTATTCATTTTAAATATTATTTCATATAATAAATATAAATCTATAATAAAAAAAGAGACGTAAAATCAATAGAATATATTTTAAATATATTACTTAATAAAAAACATAAATTTTGAAACTATTGTATTGATATTACAATTTTACGAATAATTTTTCTATTAATATATAATGATAATTATATTAATAATATTAATATTGTTAATAAATGTAATATTTCTATAATAAATAATATCATAGGCAAGTGGTGAAAGATATTTTAATGCATGATTTATAACAAATATTAAATTATTAAATCTAATCGATAATCTTAGTTTAGAAAATTAGAAAATTTATTTAAAATAAATAAATATAAAAGTTATTTACAAATGAAAGTATCACTATTGGATTATGATGTGTCATTTTAGATATTTGACGAATGTAAATTTTAATATTATCTTTTAGGATATATATAAAACAAAATCACAAAGAATTTATAATACAACATGAACTAGAATTGATCAATATGTCTGTCCGTTCGTCCATTTACAGACTTGATAAAAAAAACTTCATCAATTAATAAAAGTTAATGTTGTTATTCATCTTTAATAATTGCTGTCTTTAGTTAAAATTTATATATAAACATATTACTTAATTGCATATATAAATAGACGATCTTGAGAAAATAAGTAACAAGATATAATAACAATGGAAATATATTTTATTGAAATTCATTCCATGTTTTAACCCTTTGACTCCTGACTTTTTTCGATCGAATTTAAATTTGATAAAACATGGTATTAGGTAGCCTGATGATATTATGAAACCTGTGATTAAGTTGCAATAAAAAATCGCGCGATTATGTAATTACATATTTACTCATTTCACTGTCGATACACATAGTTTTTGATGATACAATGAAAAACAATTTTTCACACAAAGACAAACATAACAAAAAGCATACATTACATTCGTTCTTTTTTCTCTTTCTTTTGCACTACAATAAGTACATCTATGATAAGTTGAAATAACTTCTGGCATATTAGCTAAAAGTTGCGGTTTTTCAGAATTCTCTGTGCCATTAATACTCTTTTCAATACTGTCCATTTTCATTTATCAATTGAATTTCAATCGAGTTCTTCAATCAATGAATCCTTATCTTCAGAATTACTATTATCAAGTTCATATGAACTAATTGTAGTTTCACTTTCATCGGACAATGTTTCATCAGAATCCGAATCCATTATATCTTATACTCGATTGGGTTTTACAACCCTAGTCTCAATCCTGTTCATTCCTTGAGAAATCCTGAAAGGATCTGTCAGGATCCTGAATCTCAAGGATCCTGCTAAGTTTTATTCAGGATCGTGTCTCGAATCCTAGAAATTCCTT